ACTTTATCAAGGAAATGTTCCAATACACATTTTTAGATTTGAATTAGTCATTTTACTATATATTTTGCTTTCAAACTCATTAAATCACTAGTTTTACTTCGAAAAATACACATAAAACGAACAAAAAAGCTAATTACAAAATTATCTTACAAATAGAATATAATATATAAAGTTTTAATTCTAACCTCTTTACTGACTTAATACGGGGAAGTCCCTTAAAAGTCTTATCTATTTCTGTAGTTGGCTCTTATGTGAATAATTCGCATAAACTCCGTAGTACTCAATATATGAAATGAAGCGTCATAAAATCTGCACTGCCGGCATAACATAGGCCTGGGCCGCTTAGTAATATCAAACAGCGATCAAAAATAATATCAATTAATGTAGAAAAGATTTTTATATAAATTTAACTGAAAACCAAAGTAATAGAAAAAATGGCCTGTTTATCTTACTGGAGTCTGAATATTGCACAATGTATTGGTAGAACTAGAAGAAACGAGGCCTGCGGAGGAGGAAACATCAACCGATGAGACAATCGTGTCAGCAGCACTTATGGAGGAGGAAGCAGGACAAGTTTCTACTGCATCCGCAAGATGTGGAACTATGCAAGAGGGATATAATTTGGAGATTGCAGCTTCTACTATATGAATAAGCTTTTCATTTTGAACAATATCAAGAGAAGGAATATCAACTCGTCTAACTTGTCCAAGCGTCTAAATTAATAAGAGGAAATTAAGGTACATATAAATGAGAATTCAAATTCAATAAACACTGAGTTAGGCTTTAACAAAATCATGAGTTAATGTAAAATTATCATCGTTAGGTGGATGTGGCATATCTAGAGTGATGTAAGGCCAAAATAAGTAAAAAAAAAACAAAGTAAGATATTAGAATACATTTTTTCAGAATAATTATTCTGACACAATACGTCAGTATGCATAGGTATTAGAGTGTCAAGGCTAACTTAGGTTTAAGTCAAAGTATGCAAATATAAAATGTTAGTTCAACAAAAGTTTTGGCATGAGAACTTTAAAAAATATATAAAGTAACGGGCTAATTGAATGAATTCGCAATAAAAAATTTAGAATCAATAACCACACTGAAAATTTAGCATAACTAGATAGAAGCAAAAAATCCATAAAAGCACAAGCCCGATTACTGTTGAATGAGGCAAAATGCAGATTATTAAGTGTCTGACAACCATACCATTTTTACAGACATGGCCTGACCTGTCTAGGCTTAGAGTAAAGAAGTATGTACCTAAGTCCTCAACAATCTTTTTAATAAATACATTTTACAGGTTAAATTAAATGATTATAATAAATATTTAATGTCAATGCAAAAGATTGTAATAGGCTAAACCTTAGCAAAATTATTTAAAAGTAGATTCATAAATACAACTACGCTTACAGAAAAAACTTCGATCAATATCCTTTCACAAGGCCAATTTTTAACGAAGTCTGGATTGAAAGCCATGAAAAGAGCCCTTAAATTGGAAGAACTTGATTCCCCATCCGTCCGATTTCCAGTGCTACTAACTTTAAGCGATGTAGAAACGAAATCTTCATTATGTATTATTTGATCACTGAACCAACGAACAGGGAGCCCTAAAATGTAAGTTAAAAATTTTATAAAATCTGGAAGAGGAAAGAACAAGTCACAGTGTTTTGAATATTCACTTCGGTAGTCAATGTATGGGATTATTATTACAAGCTGTCGAGTGAAAAACAAAACACCAACAAATATTTCCATCAGTATACACA